CGCTCCGCCCAAAAACAGCCGCGGGGAATATTCCGTGGCCGCTAAATATGGTTCGTGGAGGGCCCACAGCTCGTGTGGGTCATGATCGTCCGGCAAGCAATTGAGTGTGACTTAACCATGGTCTCTATCAAATAGGTAACGCAATCCGAGGTCTGTCGAATTTTTCGGCCCTGCGAGATTCATGAAGAAGAATTCAGTTCTCTTGCGTGCATCATTGGTCCGAGGATTCTTAAGTTAATTCACAGGTAATCGAGTCCAAAATGGCAGGCTACGTTGCTGGATGGTCCATCTCTGTTCCACCTACAGTAGTCGAAACTCTATTGAGCGGGCTATCCGCGGGTCATAAGATTTGGAATAACTTACCACAAGTACTGTGTGACGGCCAATCAATGCATCTCAATTGATCCACCGCTGGGACTTGAGGATGGATCCAAGTGGGCCAGGGAGTGGCTAAAATGATCGTCAAGTGCTTAAACCCACGAAAACCTTGATAGCCTGTCTTATCGTATCATTATACGGTCATCAGACTATCACCAGCGAGGCCAGAGAATTCATTTCGCTATACCGAATTATAGCGACGTTTTGTCTAAAGTTCCGCAGGCTTACGGTTATATACAGCTTCAAGTCAGAGTCTGCTCCGGTGAGATAGGATTGGTCTGAAACTAAAATTGCATGATGGCACCTCAATCGCCAAGGGCCGACATCAGGCTTTAGAATCTAAACTCCCACCTCATCAAATCTTGATCCAGATCACTGCTGTGACCGAAGCGTTCGCCTAGTTGCATTACCCTCTGTAGTATCGGTCTTCCCCTCTTTGGCCACCATCTCCATAGTTGCCTCCACAACCGCCAAACGACTGCGGATGTCCTCCAGATCACTGCGAATAGTTGCAATCCAGCTGTTCTGGTTATTTAGTGACTTTTGCATGGACCTAGAAAAAGTCAGCCTTTGCTCTTTTTCGCTCGGTCCCCCCGCTCGGTCGCACGACTAACTTCGTTCGGATATCTAGACTTGTTGTTAGCAAACGTATCGCAAAGCGTCATTTCAGATAGTTGTGACACCCGCTCAGCCACACATTGGAAGGCGATCATACTGCAGTCTCCAGAAAGATCATCCTGTCGGGGTAGTTCCAGTTCGTTCTCGGATCTCGGGCTCCTACACCTGTGTGGTGGAGATTCCTGGTCATAATCCGCCAAGCTACCGATGGGTTCGTTGCCAAAGTTGGCATTTTCTTGAACAGAGGCTTCGTCCTCTGTAGTATCACCCGTCGCAGATCTTGACGGACTCCGGATGACCTCAGACTCGGAGGGTGGCAGGGACAGAGCGCGCTGTAATCGGCTCCGAAAGCTTTGTCTGTGATCAGTGTACGGAAGTTTTCGAATTCCAGCCATGATTGCACCCGAGTCAGGCTGGAATTACAAACGTCTCAAGATCTGGCCAAATGTCAACAGAGGAGTCGTTCAGGCGTTTTAAAGAGAGCTGGATCATCAGATCGGAGGTTGCAATTGGGTTTTGCAAGGCACATTGTCTGCCATCTGCATATGTATCCCACACTTGTCGCTTATTTTGGAATACATTCTGGCCAATGAGTCGTAAAAGCCATTCTTTTTTAGGTGGGGCAACTTTGCGTATTTGCCGCCAAATTCTGTCAAACGTTACATTATTCAATACCCAGTGGGGCTCGGTCTGAGAATTCGCTGCTGTTTTCACTTCAACGCACAGTAGCTACATCCAAGAGCAAGCTTTAGAAGCACAAAATTGAAGTTTGCTCGCTACTGTAGATAGGGATATGTTCGAACGCTGGGGCTCCGAGAGAGTCTGAAGTACGGCGTCGATAGGTAACAGCTCAGACTCGCTGAATTGACACGCCAAAAGGGTCCATGGGTCATCTTGTTGCGCTTTTGAAAGTTCTGATGAACCAACCAACGGTACTATCTTAGCTTTTCACTGGGACCTGAAGGGGGTTTAAGCTCACCTTTCCCATCCGCATGAAATTCAAACCGTGCCATTGCCACAAAAGGTCTCTCTGACTACTGCTAGTTCATGCGAGCACTATGTCCCCTCGCAGCGAAATTGTCTGGTCGGAAAGGGAGGAGGAAAACATTCTTTCCTGGCTTGATGCACACCGGGCGTTGCCGTGGAAAGCCCGCTCCGACGCATATTATGAACAACATCAGGTGCGCCGAAGCGTTGAGTCTCTGCGAGGGAAAAAATACCATATTTTGCGCAAGCAACGCGGTACTGGTGCCAGACTTCCTAAGCATTCAGAGAATAGAAGCCAGGCAGGACGCGCTCGTCGATCGGTGGGCGGAAAAGCTCCATTGGAAACGCTTCCAAAGAAAGGTCCTGGCCAAAGTAACACTGCAATATGGTTTCACACAATTCTAACCGCCGACCCTATCCATACCGATAGCATTGAGTCAACCGAGGAGAAGGGCTCGAGACCAGGTATGAGTTGACCTTCATCCACTATTGGTTACAAACTGATTGATCATATCAGGCGGCGCGAGGCCACTACTTAGCCATCCGCGACATAAAGAAATATGATCGTTATCGCAGATTTGGGACTGTGTGCATCTTGTCTGTGTGGCGAGAAAGCCGAGATACCGCTGAGCAGAACGTTCATGCTACCAGCGGTTTGATGGCATGCGCGCTACATCGTGATCTCCGAGCAACGATCCTAACCGTCTTAATAAATGAGTGTTATATTTATGAATTCAGATAGGTCAAATATATCCAAGCATCATTCCTTGGTTTCACAACAATAGCCGAGAGAGTCTAAGGTCATAGTATGACTATAGTTATCCCTCAGACCGTAGACCTTTGGCTAGGATCGTCGATCAATCGCAGAACCCCGAAATAAGATTTTGATGAAGCATGGGAACCGTCGCTCGGTGAGAGAACGCAGCTGTCATGAACGATCCTCGAGGAAAGTTTATCTACAAGCCTCTGCTCCTGCTTTTAGGTTGCTTGTAATTAAGCCCTGAGCCCTTAAGAAAAAAGGAAAACTAGGGCAGAATCACCAACATCCTGGTCGGATCTTATATATGATATTGCAAAATACCTACACTTTCTTAGAAAGATCGTCTGAATTAGCGTCATGATCAAGATGCTTGAAATAAGGTGTAGGGGCTACAGGAGGGCCGGCCCACAATGCAGACCCTTGTCTGGAAGCCAATCGATGTCTCTTTTCTAGTGCAAAAACCGGAGACATTTTACGTAAGCTCATGTGGCTTGTACGTAGTTAGTATATTTTCTTCAAGCCATCTGCTAGAGTTATCAAATGAGCGGTCGAATTTGGCAGATGGAGAGGATGGGTCAGGCTCAAAGAGATTATATTACACTTTTTGCGAGGAAGGCGCAGGGCAGAAGACATAGCTTCTAGAACGCTCTATAGGCCAGATAGAGAAAGCAGCAGCTTCCCACTTGACGGAGGGTCAATCATTCCTCTCTCTTGCGAGGGCAACTGAACCATGGATCGGACCTCGCTGCAGAAAGTCTGTGATATTCCAAATTCCAAATACCTCATATGCCCCAAATGACTTCCCAAGCAACAAAGACCTGTTCCAGCTGTACTCCGACGGTCCGTCAAGACTAGGTTGTGGATCGTGCCTGGACCCTTGCATGTCCTTCCCATTTCTTCTGCGGGCTACAAATAGAACCTCCGTAATCTACTATTCCGTGGGTCGTCCCTGGGATCTGCATCACGGAGCCGTACCTGCGTCTGTCTAAAGCCACGCGCGGTGTTTGATTGGTGCTACTGGTGTTTCTTGTGTCCAGAGTCCATGGGAGTGAGGTGGTAGCATTGCAATCTTGCGAGGCGGGAGATGCTCGACGTGGAACTATCCCATGGGCCATGGTAGCCGAAATGACTCACTCCGTTGTCCTGAAAACTAGGCTTGTGTTCGAGTCACTTAAGTCCCATCACTGCTAAAACAAGTCCGGATCTTGCTGGAATACTTTAAATCCCCTGCCGAGCCGAAGGCTAGCATCTTAATGTCCGGCTCCAAGGCAACCCGTGGATATAAAGTCGACTAGGACGGCTTGCTGCGGGGTTTGGGTCACAATGCCCTGCCAGGGTTCTTCGTATCGATTCACTATCCACTTTTAATTCAAAAGGCACATGTTCCAACCCGCAAGTGGGAACCAGTGTTGTGAAGCATCTAGAAGTTTTGGTTTGTGATTATCCTGAGATTACTGTGACGGAACTGTCTAGTCGCTTTCATGTAACCACCACGCAGATGGATAGTGCATGATATTATCTTCAGTAACACCATCGCCATCTCATGGCAAATTGAAGAATAAGAAACAAAACCATGCGTCGAACCATCTTCAGATACGGTAAAATTAATTTAGACGTATAGTCCTTTGACTATTAGACTAGCCCTCTGCCAAGAGCAGACTACAATGCAGAGAAAGTTCCAGGCCCCTGAGTGTGGTTAGTGGTAGGGACCACAACCTGGGTGGATCATGATCGTCCGGCAGGTCACATGAGAATCAATAGGCAATTTAATCTGAACTGTGTCAGGATCTATGACTCCCCAAGACTCACAACCCATTCCGGTGTTCTATCGCGTGCTTTTTCCTACCCTGGGCTTTTTGAACCACTTCGCTGGTCATAGAATCCCAAAAAAGGACTTCGGAGTACTGAGACGAAGAGTGGCCTTTTCTGGTCCATCCACAGTCGTCGAAACTCAATTGAGCTGGCTATTCGCGGACCACAAGGATTGATATACTCCATCACGAGAACGATGACATCTCAAATTGATTGACCACTGACGCGTGAGGTTTCAGTGGACTAGGGAACGGGTAATTACTAAAATTGGTCGGCAAGGACTTGAACAGCGGAAGCAGGTCATACAGCTGTCTTATCAAATCAGATTGACACTTCTCCAATACATTTGGATACCAATTCCACTCGAAAAACTCACAATTTATTTCCAGATCCGTACCAGAATACTGTAGGAATTGCATCGGACTTCTCGACACGCTTGAGTTGCTCAGTGAAGATCCTCTGCAAAAGAAACCCGCTTTTTCTTGTATCGTTCAGTCAAGAGCGATTGAAGAGATGCAAGCGTCTTCTTAACATCCTCCATCTCCTCTTTGAGGACTTCCACGTCGACGGCAGAATTTCGCTTGAGTAAGCGTTTGGGGGTCTTGCTCTCAGGTCTGTACCCTTCTGTCAGCCCTTCTTTCTCTTGCCACCAGACATCAAAGGTGCACTTACTTCACTCGGTCGGCAGGCCTGCAAATTATCCGTTAGACAGCGACAATGATGGCTAGCAATATTGGAGGTGTTTGCTTACTGCTCCGCTGCATATTTCGCATGTCGGCGCAGCCCTGAGGGCAGACCGTCGACTGACTCCGATTCCCGACCACGCTTGAATGAAACCTTCCTGCCACGTCGTCCGTGGCATTCATTCGCATCTGGAGGACAAAATTTATCTCCCGCTGTAGCTTTGTCTTTCAACATTTCCAGGACTTGGTCAGTATAACTGCGAGGCCCATGATCAAGATTTCGAGGGACACGATCGGAGGACTCCATCACTTGATTCTTTGTTATGCGAGCCTTAGAAAGAAAATGGAAAATTTTAGAAAATAGTTGGGGAATTTCCACAGAAAAAGTTAAGTCTGCTTTAGACTTTAAGCACGCTGACCGACTTCATTGGGAACGTTTGATGATCCATGGAAATCTTGTCTAGGTGGTATTTACTTTTAGCCTAAGAAATTTCTGAAAGCATTCACGGCAGAAAACGTCGGGATTTGACATTATGGATTCCAGTCAACCAAGGGGGTCATTTATTGACAGAACAGGCCAACCACAGGTACAATCGAGCATGACTGTTGGCCACAAAGTCTCCGACGCAATATTTCAACGTCCGTTGAAGCACTTCAGCCTTCATGAAAGAGACGGTGAACGTGGCTAGAACTGGCAGATGAAGAGTGCCACCGCGTTGAGCGATTTAATTGCAAGTTCAATGATGTGATAATTATTTTCTTACGGAATCACTGTCTTTTTAACAGTTGATGAAGTGGTTAACCACACTCAACGGGGTTGTTGAAAGCAATGAATCCAGGTTGAAACTTGAGTCTGTAGGCCACAAAGTCTCCTAACACCATTTCAACGTTGTTCAAATGTCTTCAACGACAATAACAAGACAGTGATTCTCGCTACCAACTACGCAACTGGTTCCTTGGTCGAGACGTAGCCGAAAGATTATAAGAGGAGCCGGATTCCCAGCCCAAAAAAATCAGGACTTCGGTCCTCACACTCCGATGTGTCATGGTTTCCTTCTTGCCTGCGGGTTTGAGAGTCTCCATGGCCACGGCTGTCGCTGCCACGAGCCCAGCGATGTAAGACTTGCGCTACCTCACAGCCAATGAGCCCTGTGACTGTAAAAATGTGCTTCGCAGGACGGGCTCTGCGTCAACAACAATCCTCGCAGGATAGGCTCTGCGTTATCAACTGTGTCTCGCAGGATGGGCGCTGCGTTATCAACTGTGTCTCGCAGGATGGGCTCTGCGTTATCAACTGTGTCTCGCAGGATAGGCTCTGCGTTATCAAGTGTGCCTCGCAGGACGGGCTCTGCGTTATCAAGTGTGCCTCGCAGGATAGGTCTGCGTCAACAATGATCCTCGCAGGGGGCGCTGCGTTATCAAGTGAACTCCGCAGGGGGACGCTGTGATGACAATTGAGACCCGCAGGAGACCGCTGCGTCAACAAGTTCTCCGCAGCCGAGGTCCTGCGTCAACAAAACGCCTCGCAGGGACATCTGCGACAAAAAGCCCCTCTAGCGCGTGCAGGCACCTCTTCGTGGTGCTAGGGACCAGTATTCGAGTCTTCAAGAGTACTCGAAGAAGCCAAGACCTGCGCACCATCTTGATGTAGTATTTTGTACTTCAAAATCATCATTGGAGAAATAAAATGAGCCCTAGATAGAAGCAAACCAATATCAGAATCGTAACTTCATGATCTAACCTTCGTTAGCGAGTGCCGTATTCCCAACCCTCCTGTCTTCATTTTTTGCGGTCGGCTAGTGTTCCCGCCGCAATAGAATGTATCTGCGTCAGAGCGTAGAGCGAATAGAGACTTGGGTGTTTGGGTGCGTCGCGGATGTGTTGATGAACGTTGGTGAGCGTTGATGAACGTGGATGATAGTATGGACGAGGGTTTTGATGTGTATTGTCGTATATGGCCAGACGGTGAAGTTGAGTGATCGTCACCAGACTTCGGCAAAGCCCAGCCAAGCTCATTTCTAATTGTGTTGGAGCACCTGTTTTGATGGTATTGTTCTGTCATCCTGATACGCACTACTCATGCATTAGGGTTAGACCTGTATCTATATTATTGGATTGTGACCCACACAACTCCACAACAATACAACCAATATACACATGCTACAACAAATTGTCAGTGGTAGTTTACCACTAAGCCCGTTTTGGACAGGATCCACAAGAGAAGCTTACTAAGAAGCAAGCCCCTGAGTCTGGTATGTATATAACAGGCGGACGGATGTATTTAGAAGAACAGCTGTTTAGTGATAATCCATTGCTACGTACGAGACCTTACCGATCCATCGATCGTCGACAGTTATGAGCCCGACTCGCCAATAGAATTGCCAGAAGAATTCAACTCGAGCAAACGGAACGAAACGATCCCGATCGGCCACTGAAAGATCTCGCAATGGACTTTGAGAGCAGCTTCCAGAGCAGCACGTCGCTGTACGGCGGCGGTGCAGTGAGCAGCACTCCGAAACTGAAAACATCAGCTCAGTGGAGAGTGTGGATAGCGCATATTCGGTCATACGCTCAGGGGTATGCAGTATGGGAATATTTGGACCCAGCTGTCGAGGCACCACCTGAATTGGAGAAACCCGAATATCCACATCCGAGTGAGGCACGAGAAGGTGCTGAATCGATTCGCGACCTTAGACAGACGGATATGGCAGTCTGGGAATACGTGAGAGATCAGTACAAGGAACGGAAGAGCGAATATGAGCGAGTTCAGCGATACTTGCCGCAAATGACCCGCATCATCCGCGATACGTTAGCTCCTGAGCATTTCCACTACCTTGCGGATGAAGAGACCCCACGGAAGCAGCTCGTGAAGCTGAAAGAGATCTTTGCGCCGAGTGATATAAGAAGGTTGCTCGACGTTCGAGACGAGTGGCTTCGGCTTCGCATTGCATCTCCAAAAGGGACGAATTTAGACACCTGGTTAACGAAGTGGATAGCTCTGTACGAGGAGTGCAAGAGTGCAGGGGTGAAACAGATGGAATCAGACTATGAATGCGTTTATGACTTCCTCCTGGCTGTTAAACCCCATTCACCGGCATTCTTTGCCATCTGGTATGAGAAGACGATTGGAGAAAGAAAGGCTGTCAAGTTTCATGAACTTGTCACCAACTTCCGATCGTACGTAGCGGCAGAGAAGCAAGGAAGAGACACAAACCCAAAGATAAGCTTTGCAACCCTACATGGCCAGCAGGAGCAGAAGCAGCATCAGGCAGCTCAACCGGCAAAGAGCTCGCCGACCCGAGACAGTTTTGAATGTCCCTGTGAGAGGAAGCCAAGATTTCACAACATCAGGACATGCTGGTATATGAGGGAGGATATCCGACCAGATGGATGGATTCCAAACCCTGAGATTGAAGAACGAGTCAAAACCAAGATGAAGGACTCGAAGGTTCGGGTTGAAATAGAGAGAAGGCTTCAACAAGCGAAAGAGCAGGAAGAAAAGAAGTCATTCCTGAGCGTTCAGATGGAAGCGCCAGAGTATAGCTTCTTTACCTCTCAACTTGGCGGTCCCGTGAGCGCATGGCCTACAAAAGAGGATTCGATGGCCAACACGAAGAATAACATTGCCACAACGACGCAAGATAAAACCTCGTATGCTCTACAGAAGAGCTGGGTCCTTGATTCAGGCGCGTCGTGCCATGTTTGTAACGACAGAAGTCGGTTCACGAGCTTCAAACCAATCACTGATAGCATTCGGACCGGAGACTCGCAAACAGACGTGAGCGGCATCGGGGAAGTACGAATTCGAGGCAAAAGACCCTGTACAGGAGAGACCGTGGTGATCAAGCTGAGCAATGTGCTCTATTCGCCAAATTTCCTGACGAACCTAGTGTCCTTGAAACTTCTGCGAGATCACAATGTCAAATGGGATGCAGACCAAGACATTTTATTCCATCATAGCGAGGGGATAGCGAAGATCGAGTTTCACCATGGAATGTGGGTGATCGAACATAACGAGATGGAGACCGCGCTTGCAACCCACAGACGGCAAAGGGAAGCGCACCAGCCTCGCCAGTCCAAGAAGCCCAATCGAAGCTCAGAGAAACCGCTAGTCTCTAAAGCAACAGCAGACGTATGGCACCGAAGAATGGGCCATATGCACACAGAGAGACTTGAGATACTCGAGAAAATGGTGGAAGGAATGGAAATCGTCGGGCCTATCAGCAAGCAGTCGGCTGAGCACAATCCAGAGCTGTGCCAGGTCTGCCAGGTCACGAAAGCCCACCGTCAAATCTCAAGGAGAGCGACTGGACAGACGTATGGGCCGTACGGACGAGTTCATTTCGATCTGATTCACATCAACGAGGGTTACAATGGCGATCGATGGATAACTCACTTCTACATCGACGGAATGAGGTTCCATGCAGCGTATACCCACGAGAGCAAGAATGGCGTCCAGTTTGCAGTAAAGGACTTCCTACCATACGCACGGCATGTGTTAGGGATACCTTTAAAGGTTGTCAAATTTGACAATGAGCGGAGCGTTAGCCATGATGTGGAGCGAATCATCAGGGAGAATGGTTTTGTTATCGAGCATTCAGTTCGAGCCGCACCAGAACAGAATGGACACGCGGAACGATCTGGGGGGGTGGTCATACAGAGAGCAAGATCACTGCTCGAGGATGCAGGCTTACCAAAGAATCTGTGGCCTGAAGCTATCCGAGCAGCAGTCTATATCCTCAACAGATCGCCCACGCATGTGGCTGGACGATGGATCATCCCATGGCAAGAAGTGACGAAGAATGCTGGACACGAGCAAGCAGTCTCAGTCGCAAATCTGAAGGTGTACGGAAGCTTGGCGTACTGCAGGATCATCAAGATTCCTCAATCGGAGAAGATGCTCCCGAGAGCAGAGATTGGATATCTCGTAGGCTACGTTGCCTCGAATATCTGGAGGATCTGGTTCCCACAGCGAAACAAGGTGGAAGTCGTGAGAGACGCGAAATTCGACGAAACACGGAAATATAAGCCTGATAGGTTGCCCGAAGAGATAGTCAGCCAGATGCCTGTTCAGATTCCGGAGATTATTGGAGACGTGGAAGATGCAGAGCCCACGAGAGGTTCAATTCCACTAGTCATGCAGAGCCGAGCGCGTCAGAATGCGGAGAAAGGACCAGAGAGATTGGCGCCGTCGACTCAGGAGAGACTGCCGACGCCAGCAGATTCGGCCAAGGAGACAAGAGGGACAGAAGAAGAAGAGGGAGATACTATCCTAGAAAGATTTCCAGCGGACCCGCCGATCCCTACCACTCCATCGCAGACTCCATCCGTTGTCGAACCAGACAATGTTTTCGAAGAACCCGACGACGTCCGACAGATAACAAGCGAGCTAGCTGCCGAACAAGAGAGAAACTCGGCGCCGAGAGACATCCACGGAGATGTAGACGAGACGAACATCGTCGTTGGTTCGAGGAAAAGGAAAGCACACGAAGACCCTGACTTCGTGAGTATGCTTGCAGCTCAGGACTCACCCGGAATACTGTCTGCGTTTACGGCAGCGCATAGTATAAAGCAACCAAGGGGTCAGATTCACCGGGACGACCTCCCGCCGGAGCCGGGAAATTGGAAAGAGATGACGAGGCACCAGTATTCGGAAGCATTTATGGCAGCAGCAGCTACCGAAGTGGCAGGCCTCGAAAAGAAGAACACATGTGAAGTTGTCAAAAGACCGATGGATCCGAATAAGCAGGTTCTCCCACTGACTTGGGTGTTTACCTACAAGTTCGACTCGGATGGGTACTTGGTGAAATTCAAGGCAAGGATTTGCGTCAGAGGAGACCTTCAGGTCATGACTAGCGACGAGAAACGAGCTGCCACACTCGCAGCGAAAACCGCAAGAGCGATATTCGCGATGGTCGCTGCGTTCGGGCTCGATACGTATCAATCCGACGCGATTAGTGCATTCCTGAACAGTTCGCTAGACGACGAAGTCTACACACAGATGCCTGAAGGCTACAGAGCCTCTGGGAAGTGCTGGAGACTACTTCGAGCTCTTTACGGACTAACAAAATCACCCCGACTTTGGCAACAAGAAGCAACACGAGTGTTCAAGAAGCTCGGTCTTACACAAGTTCCCGAGGATCCTTGTCTATTTACGGCGGACAGGATCATTGTCTTCTTTTACGTCGATGATATTATTATCGTGAATCATCCGACTGTACGGAAAGAAGCCCTAAAACTAAGGGAAGCTATCGGGCATGAATGGGAAATAAGAGGACTAGGTGAAGCGCAGTGGTTCCTTGGAATCCGAATCATACGGGATAGAAAGCAAGGGAAGTTATGGCTCTGCCAGGATTCGTATTTACGATCTATGGGCATGAAATTTGGAGCGATCCATCGACGGCGATGCGATACGCCCCTTCCCGTGGAAGATCTGCGACCATACGATGGAAAGGCCTCTCCTTCAGAGATCCATCAATATCAGCAGAAGATTGGAGCAGCTCTGTACGCAACCATCATCACCCGACCAGATGCAGCACGGGCGATTGGCAAGCTTGCAGAATATCAAACCAATCCAGGACCCAGACACCTTGATGCCATCGATCGTGTCATCTCCTACCTCTACCAGACGAGGTTCCTCGCTATCGAATATACAGCGAATAGGAGATCTGAGGCAGTCACGTTCGCGAGTGACGCATCTTTTTGGGGACAACGCGGACCGAAAAAGTTCAGAAGGGTATCTTTGCACACTTTTCGGTGGCGCAGTGGATTGGAAGGCAGCAAAACAACGGACCGTGACAACGTCAACAACAGAGGCTGAGCTGTTGGCGCTCACGGAGGCAGGGAAGACAGTACAATGGTGGATGAGGTTATTCAAGGAGATCGGATTTGATCCTGAGCACCCGATCACTATCAGATGTGATAACCAGCAGACGGTTGACTTACTGCGAAAGGAAGATCCTCAGCTTCGGACGAAGCTTCGGCACGTAGATATTCACCGTCACTGGCTAAGACAGGAGGTCCAAGAAGGAAGAATCTCCGTTGAATGGGTTCCCACGGCCGAAATGGCCGCGGACGGCCTCACCAAGCTTCTCCCGCGGAAGAAGCATCAGAAGTTTGTGGAGATGCTAGGCTTGGTGGACCTGAGAACACATTTATCTAACCATGAAGACTGATGAAGCAGAAGAGTGGCAGGACAGGACTCAAGTGGAATCGGCCTGCCCTGGGGGGGGTGTGTCAGTGGTAGTTTACCACTAAGCCCGTTTTGGACAGGATCCACAAGAGAAGCTTACTAAGAAGCAAGCCCCTGAGTCTGGTATGTATATAACAGGCGGACGGATATATTTAGAGGAACAGCTGTTTAGTGATAATCCATTGCTACGTACGAGACCTTACCGATCCATCGATCGTCGACAGTTATGAGCCCGATTCGCCAATAGAATTGCCAGAAGAATTCAACTCGAGCAAACGGAACGAAACGATCCCGATCGGCCACTGAAAGATCTCGCAATGGACTTTGAGAGCAGCTTCCAGAGCAGCACGTCGCTGTACGGCGGCGGTCACTATTCTGGCGAGCGGGCGGTTTTGGTTTCACTCAATAGGAAAATTGATTCCTCCACCGATGCTCTTCGCTGAGGATTGAGGACTTGGGGCAATTGTGCAACTTCTGGATTTCTGGCTGAGTTCCTGATCATACTACATCTACGATTCTATCCTTGACCATAGTCTTCCCAATCCACTTATCTGCTTAGGGAAACAAAACATGAAATTTGAATGTACCAGGTCCAATATAAACCGCAAGTGCGACCAATCAAATACCCATATAGAGTCCATATGTTCAATCCTCATTCATTATTTATTTCCGGATCGCTTGTGAGTCTCATAAGGCAAATGTTTCGTCTTCTGCTGCATGGCCTCGAAACTGGGATGTTCGCCATCATATTCACCCCGATCCGCTCTCACCTAATTGAATTACATATTAGCTCAAATAGATTTTGCGAGGTTGAAAAAGGGTATTCTCACATTCTGCTCGCTAGTGCTCGCCAGCTCAGCCTTCCACTTTCCCTTTCCATCTTGGGTTCCCTTGAGGACCTCTTGCTTGTGGGATTCGTAGTGGTTGGGTAGGTCTTCACGGTCTGCGTACTTTTAGTAATGGCGATTGCACATAGCTCTGGTTGAATACTGACGTCTATCATTCTCGTTCAAGCTTCGCGCTGATGAGGTGTGGAATGTAGAGGCAGGGAGGGCGAAGTTGGAACGGATGGCTTGGCGGGATGAGGCCCGGATAGAGGCGGGGAAAGACATTGGTAGAGATAGAGAGGTAGAGGCAGAACTACTGGTTCGTTCAGTAGGAATTGGATGGGAGATATGGTGGTTTGGCGTTGAAGCTTTGAATGGAAAATGAGGGAGTTTGGAAGTTAGAAATAAATTGTTGACTGGAACTCTCAGACGTCCCTCTTTTTCATGGGGTTCTTGGATTGATATGACATCTGGAGCTGCATGAGTGGCTTAACCCGTTTCGTGTGATGCTATATGACATCATACTAGAATGGAGTAAGATCTTGAACGTGCAGGTTATTGCCCCTAGTGGATGGGCGTCCGAAACTGAAGTGCTTTGCCGTTCATTTGTAAAGGGATGGGACAAGTAATAATCTCGACTAATCTTTGCCGTATTACAATCCGTGCGGTCGCACGGACGGACACCAAATTTTCAGGACAAGTTCAGAGTTTCCTCACATACGACCAGCGCCGGTGCTTTTGCAAAAGAATCATTACTCCTCTGCTACATTGAAGAATGACTAGTGGAACCAGGGGCCACAGAGTAAATTGTAGTTTCGTCGGGGCTGGCGGTATCTCTCTCATGCAGCTTGCCCACAACGGAAGGAGCGGCTCGTGCAGTAAGTCAAAAATATAACTCTGCAATAGCTCCAAATTCACCGTATCTTTGAGGGCCAACAGGCGCCTCTGATCACCCAAAGACAATCCAATATACAAGATCCAAAAAGAAGCTAGACAGAAAAATATATTAGAAGTTCAAAAAGTCTTGAAGGCCGAGCTTCAACGAAGTCTAGGTCGGGTCAGACTTGGCGCTTGTGGAGAGGTTAGTGCGTTGATCCAGATCCACATTCCAGTTGAACCTGCAGCTCAAAACGACCCATACCGATTGTGAAGTGAGGGTGCTGGCCGCGAACGGGGCGTGCGAATCATTTCGGGGATTTAAGTCTTTTTCCTTTTTTCTCCCCTGGTTTGCTCCCTGTTATCTTTAAGTCAGACCCGCATGGGATTCATCCTGGGAGCACAGTCACGCTGATCATATCTATTTGTATATAGCCATACAGTTGCTCAGTCTTGGTCGCTTTGTCACATATTGTCGGTTGCATCGTTTGCATACAAGGCATATTTTGGATGGCTAATTCTGTTAGAGGGAGGAGTTTTATTGGGGTTGCCTCACGTGATGCCCGCACAGAGCCCACCGGCCTACGGAGGGGTTTCTTCCCTCCTGCAACTGCCTCACGGGAGTCAATTGCTCGCCTCTGCTGGTAGCCCGTCATCTCTCACGCAGTCAAGACTCGTTTTGTTTCACGTCCTTTCTCTGCGGCAATAACACCGATGAGCCTTGACCATATCGCTCTCCACCATGACGTTCAGCCAGTCCAACAGTGTCACGCCTGCCCCACTCGACTCCGCTTGGCCCCCGGCCCACATTTGGGAAACTATGGGCGCGGCTGACCGTGCCAGTTGGCTAGGACAGATACAGAGAGACAGGGCCAGGCGCCTTGAAATGGATGTAGCGGAGACAAACCTCCGCCACAGAAGGCCTCGTGTGGACCTGCAAGGTGACGAGAATCTCGAGGAAAACCGTGAGCCACCCCCTGAAGTCAAACCACTCATCGACATATTTCCGGGTGTCTCCGCCGCCCTTCTTACTCGCGTCTTCGAGAGGAAGTTGAAGGCGACTGAACTCATACGCTTCAAAGAGAAGTCAGTCACCGAGCAAGAGGACCAGGAGGACAGGGTCTTCAAGATGACCGAGTCGGGAGGCACAGTAGGCTTCAGGAAGGCAACGGCATCGCTTAAGGACTGGGGCCCCAACCCTCAAACATGGACGAACTGCTTCCTTACATACCTAGCCGTCATAGGATATCTCTTCGGCGAGAAACATCCAAAGGCAGTCCCCAACCTACTTATGTTCATGAGGCAGATCCTTGACCTCGCTCAAACATATCAGTGGTCAGAAGCAGTACTGCCGCTCGCCCTTAACTTCCACCAATACACTCTGGATAAAGGAGAGCTATCGACGGAGAACAACTTCGTCACAGCCCCATTTCGCGAAAAATATCTCCGTCACAATTGCCCTGCCTGCGAAGTCACCGGCAAACCCTTCAGCCCGACCTCGTCAAACAAGGTCTACTAGGTTTTCTAACAATGAAACCGAGGTGTGCGATAAGTTCAACACCACAGGATGTCTCTGGGAAGGCTGCAAGAGACGTCATGGGTGCACAGCATGCGGTCTAAGCCAGCATGGCGGATCCTCTTGCCGTAAGAAGACATAGCAAATGCACCCTACCGTTAGGGAACGCACTGCAGAGGCCGATAGGAGTTTCAATCCCTTACCACCAAGCCTAATACCGCAGGGCCAACCGCCCAGGCCCAGTACTGCTATACAATACCCCGTCTTCAACCCGGAGCTCCCAAAGCTACAGTTCTCTCCGTCACCGCTATATGCAAAAGGCTGGAGCAACCTCCTACGCCACTATCCAGGCGATCTCAAGTCTACCATCACTGGCATCATGACCTACGGCGTCCAGATTGGCTATAGGGACAAGAAGCAGTTTTATCACTCCTCCAACCATCACATACGCGAACTTGAAATGATCTCGGCCAAACTCGCAGAGGATCTTAACCTCGGTCGCATTAGATTGGCCTGTAGGCCCTCCTTCGTTTCACCGCTGGGGTTAGTCCCTAAGCACCATGGGGGATGGCGCCGCATCCATGATCTATCCTGGCCCCCTGGACAAGGCCTTAACCAGGGCATACCGGACTCCTGGTCAGCTATTGAATACACAACAATCGATGATATCTACGAGCAGGTCATAAAAGCTGGCCCAGGTTGCACAATCATCAAGAGGGATATTAAGGACGCCTTCCGAATAGTCCCTGTTGCTGAGGATAACCAGCATCTTCTTGCCTTCCAGTGGAACGATTGTACTTATGTCGAATGCTGCCTCCCCTTTGGCCTCGCTACGGCCCCATTTCTCTTCAACCTCTTCGCCGAGGCTCTCCATTGGATAATCCAATGCCTCCTTGCTGTATTCTATATCAATCATTACCTAGATGACTTCATCGCAATCATTCGGTCTCCCTCAGTGTCCGACCCTATTGGTCCCTTTGATGAGGTTTACAACGGAGTCACCGCCTACCTGCGTATCCCTCGCAATACCAAAAGGACCAACAAGGGACATGTGTTACAGTCTTAGGTATCCAGATCGACTCTATTGCAAAGGAAGCTCGCTTGCCGCCAGACAAGTTGTGCCGCGCCACATTGGACGCCGCAGCTGCCCTGAACGCATGGAATCTCTCCCTCAAGCAAACAGAGCGTCTCACAGGCTCATTAGCCTTCTGTTCAAGAGTAGTCCGGCTTGGGAAGACAAGGCTACATTCTCTATACACCTTCCAAGCTGCCTTCCCACATGGGAGGAGAGCGCGCCGCCGTGTCTCCTACGAGGTACGTGACGATTTGGAATGGTGGAGGGACTACTTTTCTCTTTTCAACGGCGTACTCTTAATTGACCCCCGACGCCGCTCTATAACGCACCTCTACACAGATGCCTCCAACACAACCCAGAGGCTCTTCTTCTTCTCATCCAAGTCTATATCAGACTGCTAGCTGGCCCATTGTCACCAGGTTCATACAAGCAATGCTGCCTCACTGGCCCTTGATCAAGACGCACACGCGCACATCAATACAACCGAAGTAGACGCCATTCTACAAGGCTTCCTACCCTTCAGCCACCGTTGGCTTCATCATTCTCTCGTTATCCGCACAATTAGTTCCACAGCCTACACAGGACTGAGCAAAGGCTCCCTTTATGGTCCGCCTAACGAACCTCTGAAATGCCTACTTATCCTAGCGGCGGTGAGAGACATCCAAATCGTGACACATTGGCTCCCTTCCGGGGAAAACACACTAGCAGATGCCCTCTCCCGTAATAACTGTCAAGAGGTTGCTAACATTTGTCCCCACTGGCAGGACCTCTCGGTGTTGAACCGCCTGCGTGGTTCTCTTCACGAGCTCCTCAGCTCAATGCAGGCCACTTAAAACTGCTCTGGAGCGGCCTCAGCGCTAAGACGCGTTCCGTCTACCACTCTGCTCAACGCAATTACGAAAGGCACTGTTCGCTACAGAACTCCTCGGCTTGGCCAGCCTCAACACGGTCGTTAACCTCCTGGCTAACTCCACGACTCCTTGGGAATTCAAACCAAAAGGCCGTCAAGCCCGATACCGCACTCGCCGACCTAGCCGCCCTCCGAGCTTATCATATTGACAACTTCCTTGAGGATAAACTCATCCATAACAAGCACTTTCGACGCCCCATAGACAGCGCGAAAAGACAACCCAATCACCAAAGTTCGGGTCAGAAAACCGATTTCGCGTGACACCATTACGAAACTATCCGCGGGCCTAGCCACACTCCCGCCACAGACCTTAGATATGACTGCAAACCTTCTAGACGACTTAACCTTCGCAACTGCTTGCCGTGTACCATTTGCTGGGTTCCTTCTCCTCGGAGAATTTGCCTACAAGACACAAGACCTCGGCACACGTCCTTCCATCTTAGCCACAAAGCTAACGCGCTCCGACGTCAGATTCTCGTCCTCTTTAGACCACGTGCAACTCACACTCAAGCGGAGCAAGACGGACCGCCGCCACGAAGGAGCATAGATCATCCTTGCGAAAACAGGAGACGGAGCTTGCCCGGTTGATGCGCTTCAGAAGCTGCTACTTCTCGACCCCAAAGCGTCCGATGCCCCGTTGTTAACTCCTTCAGGGGAATCAGGGCCACCATAGAACAATCCATAGTCAACTCGTGCCTGCCTTCGTGTAGTCATTTGCAGGTCCTCATTCCCATTGTGTGCCATGACGAAGATAGTTATCAGGATGCTTGGGAAGTTGGGAGTTGGTCGTAGGGGCGGTGGGAGGTGTGTGGTTGGAACTTGGAAGGTAGCAGGATTTTAAGAAAAAAACTTCAAGGTAGTACTATTAATTATGCAAGTAATACCTGCATACTACCGACAATATCGGCCGTTATATATCGGTCGACAATTTTGTGAGCCGATACGATAACCGATAATTTTTTGAAGCTTTTGTAGTAGCCGATACGATACCCGATATGGAGAAATTCTGCCGATATCGTATCGGGAACACCCCTACTTGTAAGAACAAAACCTGATGTCGACGATCGATGGATCGGTAAGGTCTCGTACGTAGCAATGGATTATCACTAAACAGCTGTTCCTCTAAATACATCCGTCCGCCTGTTATATACATATGTCGGAACGTGGTCGTTACAGTACGGACTAGTACGGGCATAGCCAATTGAGTACTCGAGAGTGTGTTTTCTATATACTAGAGAAAGTGCAGAATAAATAGGGGATGAGCTTAGTAAGGTCGTTGAGAGCCTTACGATCGTCAGGCAGAGGGGGTGCTGAATATTCCTCGGGCGCACTAGTAAAATGGCGACCCCCTTTTGTTGACAACATACTCAAGACTCAGGGGCTTGATTCTTAGTAAGCTTCTCCTGTGGATCCTGTCCAAAACGGTCTTAGTGGTAAACTACCACTGACACCTGACCGTCAAGCCGATTTTTATCGACTTGAACCTGGAGGAGACTATTGACGCTGCCTTTGAGCATGTGCAGAGGTATGACATCTTGATGTCGTTCTCCAGGAAATTTGGGCATATCGATGTTCTAATCAATAATGCTGGGATTGCACACGTTGCTCCGGAAGCCGGGAAAAGTACACGGTTTTGTTGTAGTTCAAAGATATGGATTGAGTTATTCTTCCAGAGGGATACATGAGCCTATATATACAGCAATGAGCCAAGTTGATTTCCAATCAACTTGGGTTGTCCATATTGATACCTCGGACTTAATTCCGACGGTGCGGCTTGGTTCCTGATCTGCACCAGCCTCATGTCACAACATTCCCCCTCAGGATCGCTTTGTTGGTAAGGCGATACTGGATTAACGCTGTGCAGGCAAGCCTCGGTAAAACCACTAAAAAACCTTCGTGGGAAAATAAAGTGGAAAGAGCGCCTGCGCTGTCACGTTTGTTGCCTCTGAGTCTCCAAGGCTTCGATTCCTAGAAGACTACAGAACTTGACAAAAGCCGTAGGTCCCAACGGCTTGGTGAGACCGTCAGCGGCTTGTTCCTCAGTAGGAACATATTGAAGACCTATCTCGCCAGCATTCAGCACTGCTCGCTGATAATGGAATTTCACGTTGAAATGTTTGGTCCGTTTGTGGAACTCGGGGTTGCGCGAGAGGGCAATGGCGGACTGGTTGTCAGCCATGATGTTGGTAACTGGAGACCGATACAGTTGTGTTTCGGCCAGAAAGGTGCGGAGCCATTGCAAATGCAGAATGGCATTGTATTGCCCGATGTATTCGGCATGAGTTGTAGACGTGGCTACTTCCCCCTGTCTCTTGGACGACCAGGAGACCGGCGCACCCGCAAGTTGGAATACGTACCCGGACGTCGAGTAGGCTCCATCAGTGACGACAGAGCCGCCAAAGTCGGCATCCGTGTATCCAATCAATTGTCCGCTGCGGTATGTGATGCGATGGTTTCGTGTGGCTTTGACATAGCGAAGCAATCGCTGCAGGGCGACCTGGTGGTGCGATTGCGGCTGAGACGTGAAGCGACTCAACGTGCCCAGCGCAAACGCGATGTCCGGTCGCGTTCCAACCATCAGATACATCAACGAACCGATGGCGGTTGCAAATCGTGCTTTGGCTTCCTCGTCTGGAGGTGCTTCGTCCGGATGATGATTCAAAACTTGCTTGGGATTCATTGGGGTAGTCTTCGCCTGACAGGTTTCCATGCCAAAGTCAGACAGAATCTTTTGGATGTACTGGTGTTGGTGAATAGAAACACCTCCGTCGGCATGATAGTCGAATTGGATTCCGAGGAATGAACGCGGAGTTCCAATGTCGTTCAATTGAAACTCCTTCTCCAATGCTTGTTGCACTTGTTTGATTTCGTGCGAATTGGCTGCCGTAATGAGAAAGTCATCGACATAGACACAGACCACGCAATCGGATTTGTAGAACACGCAGTTGTCCGATTCTGCCATGGTGAAGCCATGGGCGGCCAGCACACGGTGGACGCATTGGTACCAAATCCGCGGGGCCTGTTTGAGTCCATACAAAGAGCGGCGAAGCCGGCATACGTAGCCTGGCTCTTCAAATCCTTCGGGCAACTCCATGTAGATGGAAGAGTCCACGTCACCGTGTAAGAACGCCGTGACGGCGTCGAATTGGTGAAGCTTCCATCCGCGTAATGCGGCGCTGGCAATGATGCAGCGGACTGAGTCCATTCGTGACACAGCAGCAAACGTTTCGTGATAGTCGATGCCATGTTTCTGCCGATATCCTTTGATCACCAATCGCGCTTTGCGCGTTCCGTTGACTTTAGTCTTGAAGACCCATTTGCAGCCAATCACATGATCTCCGGCGGGAACGTCCTCTCGTCGAACCTTTTCCCATGTTCCGTGTTCGAGAAGCGACGCATATTCTTTCTGAATGGCAGCCCACCATTCCAGCTGATCTGAACCCGACACAGCTTCCCGAAAGGCCACCGGGTCGACTTGCCTGGCCGGTGCGGGATTCAATGTGCCTGTCGAGTATACCTTGCCTAATGACTCTAGAAGACGCCGTGAAGGTCGTCTTCTGCGGCCATAGACGGAATAGCCGAGGTCCTGCGTGGACTCTGCTTCCTGTTCAATTGGATTGACCGGTGGAGGTATTTCCTCCCCATGCTGAGACGGCGTTTTGTCTTGCTCGGATGATAAGGGCAAAGGCGATACCGGCGGTGTCGGCAGCCCATTAGCCAAGGAAGGTACTGACGGAAAGACCGATGATGGAGGATCGTTGTCCGGGAGGTCGTTGCCTGATTCCCCCTCGATGAGTGGCGCCACAGGGGTCCTCTCATCGAACTCGACATCACGGGAAAAGACGGTCTTTCCGGAATGGATCTCATACAATTTGTACTGGTTCGGCTCACAGTAACCTAGCAATCGGCACTCGGACGACCTGGGTCCGAGCTTTGCTCGATGCTCTTTGGGAATCAACACCCATGCGCAGGAGCCAATCCGTCGCAGATGCAACAACGAGGGCGGCTTCCCGTAAATGATTTCGTACGGGGTCTTCTTCTGCAAAATTGATGCTGGCGCGCGCAACTTCAGATAGACCAC